AATATATTTTTAAACTTTTAGGTTAAAAATGATAAAAACTGAACATCCTACAGTATTTTTACAGTCTTTATTTTACAGTTAAAATATATGTTTATTAAATAAAGTCTAATGTTACAACTGATCGTGGACCCCTTTAACTCGTCACGCATGTCCRATCCTATATTTATCCCTCTGTTTGTCCCAGAGGCCCAACGCTAATCGTCTGCCATTATTGCATCCAGGTGAAATTACAGCTTTACTCAGGCGGCGGGTTTGGGCTGCCGGCACAGGTGTGCCTTAAGATTTGCCTGACACTTGTGCTCCGCTTGCAGGGATCCACCGGAGGAAACAAAGCCTGCCAAAACGGAGGCTAGGGAAAATGTTCACCTAYGACCCCATATCGCCGGTTGCCATGGAGATCAGTGGGACGATTTGCCTCCTGTGTTTTGATGAGTTTCAGGTGAGCAAACTACAGGCACTGTTTCTATATTTGTGCTTCTTGTTCTCAAAACCTGCTTAAAATAGTTGGAATTAGCTAACTATACAAAAACTTTTTTCTTTACTTYATATAAAATTTAAAGATGTGATATTGTAGTTTTTATACTTGCATAATATTAAGAGAATGTATGACTTGTTAACTAGATGTGAAATCTGTGCTTTTTATTGATTTCTAAATGTTTTTAAAGGAATAAATTCAACAGTTTGCCATATAAAAAACACGTTTTTACTGTAAATAATGTCGGAAATACAGTAAAATGCTTCTGTAGAGTAAAACCTGAAAGTGTTTTTGTGTWAAAATGTGATCATGTTTAGCATTTACTACACGCCCCATGCATCTTTTTGGGTGCATGCTGGAAATATGCAGTGTTGGATGAAGTACCAAAAAGTGATACTTGAGTAAAAGTATAAGTATCTTATCAAAAAATTACTTTGGTAAAAGTTAAAGTCTCCTTAAGGAATATTACTTGAGTAAAAGTCTTAAAGTATCTGATATTTTTTGTATGTAAGTGTTAAAAGTAAAAGTATTTATTTAAAATGAGCAGTTAGATTTTCTGTAATGACATTTATTAGGAGGTGACCTCCCCAAAAACTGCAGAAATGACTGTATTGTATTAAAATAATTAATTTATGTTAAATTTAGGATGCACTAGTCCAGCTGTTTCAGTTTATATACATAAATCAAGGCTGCACAAACCTTTTCCACAAAATAAAAATACGAGGGCTGCAGCCAAATACAATAATATAATTCATGAAATACATATACTTTTTAAGTACAGTCCTTTTATTTTTAATGCTTATGTCCTGCTGGAGTGTGACATGATTAGTTTATGTACAAACTAATACGGTATCAAAATTATATATTTATACTTCTCATTCAATCACAATTAAATTCACTCTATCTAGGAGGCACAATTTATATGTGGATAGTATTTATTTTTTACAATAACAAGCTGGAATGAAAACAAGCAAAAATTAAACAAAAGTAACAAATTTTTACTTCTTGCCATTTTTAAAAATG